TGTTCATGCCAATAAGGCAGATTTCCAGTTTGAATTGTACGAACACAGAGAGACTGAGTGGTAAAAATTTAAGTAATCCTTTTTTTCAAATGTCTGAAAGAGACATTAGCTAAAACTGATGTCCAGAGATGTCAAAGAGAGCAGCAGGGAAATGACGGCAGAATAATCTAAACACCTAACACCTTTTGATTCCGCTGATTTTACTGAGCTTCTGTCTGTCTGCCACCACATTAGTCAAATCGTCTGTTGCCTGTGGACACCAGCGTGTCTCTGTGCCTCCAAAAATAGTAAATTACCAAAGCTAAAAAGCTTAATGGCTGCTGATACCCGTGCCAGTAATAGAACAAGGGCTGAAAATTAAATCAGGACAGTGTTTCTGTTGCTATTTCGAGGAGGAAGCTTTTGTGACTGTCACCAACAGGAGAGCAGCAGCCGCCAAATCAGACAGAGCTGGCCAGAAGCATTGATGGTCAAAATCTGGAGCTAATTTAATTCATGTGTGTTGTTCAAAAAGATTCAGCCATTAGTGTCCATGTGTAACACTATATTTCTTTCCTATTAAAAATGAAAAACCTAAATGTCAGCATTCTCCCACTGTGGAATGAGACAGAAATCAGTTATTTATAATTAGTCAGACTTTTAGGTGGGCAGGACTGTATTTGGCTTCTTTGTGGTTATTTATTTAAAAATACAAACTTACCATACCACACCTTCATGTGGTGGAACTGTGGTTTGTAGTTTTATAGGTGTTTTTACCTTATTTTAGATGAAAGCAAAAACAAATTCTACACCCTAAGAGATTCTTGGCATTAATTCTGATGATAACAATAATGTATGCAGTGCCACAACATCGGGGGAAGGAAAAGAAAGAAAAATGGCACATCAAGAAAGGGTTGAGAGCCAATAACTTTTTAAGTTAAGTATCTTGAAAACCAACCCAGTAGAGTGGGAAAAGTGCTCATTCATTAAAATGCTTGTTTTTCAGTGCCATTAGAAGCCCAGAAACAGCTGCTGTTCTGCACACATTTAAATTTAGGCATGGAAGTTCCTGCTGGGAAGGGTCAAACAAACACAGGACTTACACCCAGGACACTGTTGTTTGAGTCACGTTTGAAACCGAAAGTCAGCGCTGACTTATTTCAACTTACATACAGTACATACGCAAGCTTTATTTTGAAAGAGTAACTTGACTGCAGAACGAGAACTACAAAAAAACTAACTATATATAGTAATGTGCACTAAAACATTGAACTTGATCATGTTTTTGGTGAATGATGGTATCCATTTGAAACTAATAACCAAGACCAAAAGTCACAACTGTTTTGGTAGTTACTTTCTGTTGCCACTAGGGGCAGCCAAACAAGAAGTACAAGAAAGCAGCATTAAAAGTGTTATTCAGGAAACGTTTTTTTAACCAATTTCTGTCTGTATTACAATATAATTACGTCATAAAGTAGATGCAGTGTGCTTTTACTGGTGTGCTACTGATAAATGTATAACCTCGAATGAATGTTTAAATTTATGATTTATTTAATTGGTCGGGTTCTCAAACATTTTTAATTAGCTTCAGGTTGGATCATTGACAGTATATATAATGGACAGAGCTTCAGGGTCTGTGAAGGGAAGCACTTGTAAGTGTCTAAAACCTGCATTCAGTGTAAAGCCCAGCAGGGGGAGTGCAATTGGCTGCAATAAAAAACAATAGCATACAGTCTAAACAGTTTCCTAATGAGTGTATGTTCTCAGTCTCTAGTTTCATTCTTCTTCCGTACAGCATGATGTTGACACATTTAGTAAATGATGGTCCCATTTAGAGTAAAATAGATCATAAAGCAGGGTATGCTTTAGGGCGTGGCTACCTTGTGATTGACAGGTCATTCTCAGTGAGTCCGTCCAGCTCAAAACACCAAACTCAAATC